GTGGTGTGGGTAATTATTGGTCCCAACTAAGGTGTGAATGGTTCACCCGTGGCTAGCTATAATACCCCTTAACTTTTGAAGGTGGGAACTATTTTATTTTCTTGAGGACAATTAAAGACTTAAGTTTGGAGGAGTTGATAAGTGGGGATTTTGATTACTTATTAGCACTATTTAGCTTTTGTTTTAGTCTAAAAGCGTTTAATTGTGTTCCCGAAACTGATGAAATGTGCAAAATTACAAAAATATTGGAAGTTGGACTCCCTAGATAAAGTCTGACTCAAAAAAGAGTAATCAAAACATAAGGAAATAAAAGGCACAAGAACTCGCAAAGTGCGGACTGCAGAATTTCATCTACGGCCGCAAACAATAAAGAAAAACCCAACAAGCTTCCTAGCAAAATGCGGTCCGCAAAAGAATTGTGCGGCAGTAAATGAAAAATTTGAAATCAACTTCAGAGGGTGTGCAATTTTCCAAAGTACAAGACCCTCAAGATTGCGGACCGCACAAAAATTGTGCGGCCGCAGAAAGAGAGATGCGGACCGCAAAAAAAATAGATTGCGGCCATAGTGATTAATCTGTGAACCGCAGAAACATTGCCTCGCGGCCCTAGAATCCCAGCTCCTGCAAGATGAACACTTCTATGGACCGCACATGAAATTATGCGGCCACAGAACCTTTCGAAGGGCATTTTTATCCGAAATTTTTAGCCCTGTCTAAATAGACGAGTTTCACAAAATTAAGTCAACTTTTGACATCAACAACTACAGTAGTCATTTCTCTTTGCTTCTTTTAGTAGTCTTTCATATTTTGGGACATTTTAACATAGATTTTATCATTTTAATTTTACAATATGAGTTTAATTAGTATCTTTTCTTCTATTTCTTGAATTTCGCATGAGTAGCTAGATTTTTACTAGGGTTGTCACCCAACCCTAGTGTGTAAACTTTATGGGTGTTTAATTTAATGTTTGTTTATGGTTGTGTGTTTATTATTTTGCCTTGTTCATGCTTTAATTTATGGAATTAATGGTTGTAAACATTAGTTCATGCCTATTTGACTTAGTCTCTACTTGAGAAAGAGAGACTTAGTCTAGGAAAACTTGGCTAACAAGAAATTGGGTCAATCGAGAGATTGATAATCCCAATTAAATGGTTCAACCTAGAGATAGTAATAACCCAACTTGAGCTTTTATTAACCGTTTTGAGCAATATTCATTTGGACTTGAGAAAGCCAAATTGGGTAAAATCACTCTCTGACCGAGAGATATTGAGTGGGTAATTGAGGGTTGATAGCTATAATACACCCCGATCAACAAAACAAGCATTAAAGTTTATATCTCATTAGGCAAATACCTAGGTGATGGTCATATCCCTAAGATTTTTACAATAGGTGGTTCAAACTCACATATTACAATATATACTCCTAACTCCCATATGTAGCTCCTTGTAAAAATCGACCCCAACTCTTATTGGATACTACTATTGAAATCGACCATTTCATATCCTTGATTTGAGGTGTGAATTGGACGAGATCAGGAGTCCTATTACCCCCTAAATATTTTTTAAGTGGAATAAATATCATTCTAGGTGCTGACATGTCATAGAGAACCAAACATTTGGCAAGTGGTGAAACATACGTGCTGTCACATGTAATTTCATATTTTATTTGCATTTTCTTCCTTTTTCTTTTCTTTTTAATTCGAAATGTATTGGATATATTATTTTGTATGTATGAACTTGAAAAATTATTAGATGTGCTGAGCATATTCGGACGTTGTTGAAATTTTAAAGTTTAGATTCAAGTGCTAAATTCATTCTAAATCCTTAGTTGTAGATGAGATTCGAAAATGACAAAAGAATTTCGAATTCACCATTTTTGAACTTTGAAAAAGCTTGAAGAACAAAATGGGTTTGTCAAAATTCTTGGTTGTTAGCCAAATTGATCACTGGGGTATGATGACGATGTTGTTGTAAAGTTGTAGTTGAAATTTTAGCTTGATTGGTGCAGATTTAGTCGTGTTTTTTGTTGAATTTTGATTCCAGAAATTAGATTTGGATATATTTAAAAAGGGTGATAAAATGGGGATGAAGAGTTCTTGAAAATCAACACGTGGCCATTTCGTATAGGTTAGAGCCTTTTTTTAAGTTCTCACGCGCTTGAATGTTGTTCTCACGCAGTGCTCCACGTCAGCAAAAAAGGTACAAAGAATTACGGAAAAAAAAAAGCTTTGGAGGGGGGGGGTAATAGGACCTCGCAAAAGTAAGATGTATCGTAGCAACTTCGAATATAGTTCAGAGGGTAATAATGCATTATCCCAAAAAAAACTAGGATTGCACATCTGGTTTACTACTACATCACGTTCAAAAGAAAGACCCAATTTCATTCGCAGAATGACTTTTCAAAATTTTTACAAGATTTACCGAAAAGTTTTGTTTTGCGTAAAGATAGAAATATATTTAAAATAATACTTTGAGGAGATTAAAATCAAAGTTTAAATGATTTTTCTTAGGAAAATGCATAAGAATCTCTCTGACCTATAGCCGAATTTTCAACTACACACTTATTCTTGCGTGGGTCCTATTACCCTCCTGAATTATTTTTAAATGGAATTAGTGTCACCCTGAAATGCCACTACCACATATATGTTTGACGGTGAGATACACACACCTGACATATGTATTTCCCACTAATATCGTTTTTTCCTATCTACTTATTTTTCCAACTCATTTTTTGTATTTTTTTAAATTCTTTTTCCCTTTTCATGCTTCCCACCTTCTTCCATCCCCCAACCCCCAACAAGTGAAGAAGCAAAAACTTTTTGATTGAAGAAGCATATCGAAAAATGGTGAGCTCCTAAAAAACTTTATGGCAATCAACAATCAACAACCAAATTCCTCTTCCTTATTCTCTCTTTTACGTAAATTTGATTAATTAATAGAATAGGACTCCTCTCCCTCAGCTCACTACCTGAAGCAGTAAAAGGCCGAAGACCCCAATCGGGAAATGGCGACCATGGCCAGAATGTTTTTGCAACTAACAATCAAAACCCTTCTTCTTATTCAGTATTTTGTGGGCTTCTTTTGGGTTTAATTGAAAATTGATCTTGGGACGAGATTTTTTCATTCCTTTCTATGAGAAGCAATTGCAATTGAAAATTTAAAAGTAGTGAGTAAAGAGATTAGAAATAACAGTAATTCTCTATAAAGTGTTATGAAATATGGAGAGAAAAGAATAAAATCTTCAACTCGATCTCGCTGGAAAATATGGAGAATGCCGAAGCTACTTTTCGGTCCATCGATAAGTAATAAAACTGTAGAAAAGAAACGGAAAAGAAAAATAAAAATAAGAGAAAAGAAAAAATAGAAAATAGTATATATTATAAAAATTAAATTTCAATATCCTCTCTTTCTCACTCTCCCAAGGAGGGTGACATACACTCTCTTTTACACATCACCACAATTCCATTTAAAAATAGCTCAGGGGTAATAGGATCTCCCGCAAAAATAAAGTGTTTAATTAAAAATCCTGTTATTGATGAAGAGGTACTTATGCATTTTCCTATTTTTCTTCTATTTCAATTTGTATGGCAACATTATTATTGGAGAAGTCTTCTTCTTGACCAAACTTTTCTTTTAAATATTTTGACTTATTATCTACTATGACCTATAATATTTTTTTAACTAGTTCACAAATATATAACTTTATTTCCAAAAACTCAAAGAATCAAAATTTAATATTTCATGCGAGGTGCCACATAAAAACGGAGGAAGTAATATTATTGGTACATGTGAAACTACATGATATGAGCTACCCTAATGGAGAAATCCAAGGAAATGAAAGATCGAAGATCGAGTATTGAGGGACGACAATGTTTGGTGACAAGGATCAATGGCAAGCTTCCAAGAATGAGGTTTAGGTGCTCGAGCATAATCCTGAAACACTAGACATTCACCCAGCGAACTATATATATATCTGACTACTCATTTTATCAATAGAAGCGTAACCTTCAATAGAAGAGGACCATAAAATGATTAGTCAAGACGGAAAAAAAGCGAGCTCCTACGCATAAACAGAGCAAGAAACCTGTGCCCACAAGAGTGAGAAGCCACTAGGAAGAGAGTCAACATGAAAAACATCAGAGTACTTGAAAAGGCAAGAACATTCAAACACAAATAGTATAGAGAGAGACAACTCATCTCTATTCCTTTAGTAACATTCAGCGAGATGCAAAGGGAGACCCTTCCCACGCGCTGTCAGGCAGATGTAGAGCTTCGACTATGCGTCCCTCAACCAGCAGCTTTTGTTTACATTCTGTATTTATTCTAAAAAATCATCAAACATGTACAAATTTCTAATTTATAACTCAATAATTCAAAAGAAAAATAAATATTCTCAACTCATACACTTCAAATCTTGTTCGAATATGCCCTTCTCGATCTCTTTTTTTTCTTAATTTCTTAAATCTTGTTTGCAAATTGAAGCTACCCTGAAAATAATCAAGCAACTATATTCACATTTCATAAGATTGACTTATTAGTACTTTACCAGGACCATTCTTTTCCTTTTTACTACTTTGGATGTTTCCCATTGATATTGTTATAAGATCAAATCCAGTGACGCATTGGAGACTTTGGCACGAGGCGGTAGTAGCAAATAGAATCAGTACTTGATGAAATTGTCCTTAAAGCCCGTTTGGATTGGCTTAAAAAAAGTGACTTTTCAGTAGAAATAGCTTTTAAGCCAAAAGGCAATAAGTTGGAGTTGCCAGACAACCAACTTATTGCTTTTGGCTTGTTTTAAGCAATTTTTAACTTATTTTAATCACTTTTTAACTTTGCCAAAAACGAAAAAAAGAAGCTAAAAAGAGCTTAAAAGTTAATTTGACTAGCTTAAAAGCCAATACAAACACCTGTCACGACCCAATTTCCCCTCTGTTGGGTATCGTAATGGCGCCTAGTCTTATGGACTAGGTAAGCCTAACATTTACTGAATATCAACAATAATAAGAAAGACTAACAGTCTCGATATAGAAATCTTTATAGAATTTACAATTTTCCAAAACCGAAAGTACAAGTTATAAGCTCTACATAGTTTACAACAACTTCTAAATACAATTGTTTGGAAATAAGTAAAACAGTGTGAATACAAAATTAGGAAGGTGACTCCGAAGCCTGCGAATGCAGCAACAGATTTACCTTGAGTCTCCACAGCAACGATCCGTATAGCTACTAACAAACAATTACCTGGATGTGTATAAAAAAATCTACATAAGTGTAGTATGAGCACACCATAGCGGTGCCCATTAAGTATCAAGGCTAACCTCGGTGGAGTAGCGACGAGGAACAGTCAAGATACCTATCGGTTTAATAATCTGACAAGTATAAGTATAGGAACAACAAAACATGATATCTACATAAAGACTACGCGATATGGCTAACAATACTGAAATTTACAATAAGGAAGGAAATAACAAGTAACAGCGGAATACCATAATAAGGACACAGACGAGTGAACGGAATCACAACCTAAATCCGAAATCACAAATATAATAAACACAAATAATAATTCTGTCACACCCCTTTTTTCACCCTCACTTAACCCTTTTAAAATAATAAAAAGATTTTGAAGCTCAAAAGGGTTTTCAATTTGAAAAGTGACAAAATTGTGTTTTAAAAGATATTTCAGAGTCGTCACCTGACATTTGGTTTCGGTGTGTTAGGTCACCGTTTAAAAACAATTTTCCCTTTTAAAACACTTGGGACTCTAAAACTAAGTCTGCGCCAGAAATTCTAGATAAGGGGGTTCATTTGACTCGGGGAGAATGTGTTAGGCATTTCCCGAGTCCCATAAAAGTCACAGTTACATACCCGATCTAGTTGGCTTTTAAAATATTTAAATCGAGGTAAAACACACAAAAAGAAAATAAACAATCAAAAGAGGCTCAAGATCTTTCCACTTAATAAAAGAAAGATAAAAATAAAATTGAAATAAGAATAAAAGTACTACGAGTTCGCTTTCGGCCTCCAATTACAGAATACTACGGGGCATTCCCCGGAATAAAATATATAAAAATACTTCGGGGCATTACCCGGATAAATATAACTAAGGGAACGACCTATCACCTCAAAACTAACAAAAATCATACGGCTTGCCTACCCAACTGACGGCCTAAATATGCTCCTGGCGATCAAATTAATGAAGCAATTCTTTTACTTTGAATTCCCAAACCCACTATCCATTGTTTCCTCTAACTAATATGTATTCAACATCAATTATACAGGTTTTCCTAGATCGATTCAATCAAATAAATTTTTTGATCAATTCTAACAACTACCTTGCTACCTTGATATATTAAACTAATAATAATCAAATACGATACACCCATCACATTACACATGAGAAGTACTCGTACAAAACAGAAAAAAAAGCATAAGAGGCAAACAAACATCATTAGTTAGAAATGAAATAGCAAAGTAGTAAAAAAATGGACCTTAATGTAGAGACGAAATTCCACTTCTGTTTTGCATTAGAGATAGTCCCCAAAACAATGATACTCGATCATAAACAGGGAGAAGCAATGGGAACTGCAAATCTGTCCGGAAACCTCAGACTACGAACTCAAACGACTTCAATGCCCCGATTTCGATACCACTCGGCAAAAACAGATTTCAGCCGCAACAACAGTCATGGCCGTCACCGGTCACCACATACGGCAGCGGCAATCATAGAAAGGACGAGAGCTGGAGAAATGGGGAAAGGGACTCGAGCGGCTCTTGGAGGAATTCCGTTCTTTACTTTGTCCGTGTGTGCGTGTGTTTGAATGTTGGAAAATTATAGTTCGAGGGTCGTTCATTTTGAAAAATTGGAGGCAGTAGTAGGCCCAGAGGAAGGGATTTTTCAGCTACCTCTTTCTTCTCTTATGGTTCATGGCCAATTTTGGGTCTGGTCTTAGAGATTAGGGTGGTGGTTCAGGAAATACTAAGGTGCCCTTTTCATTTGTGAGGAAGATCAGATGTTGAAGGGAATGGGGTTTTTTTGTGTGTGGGGGGGGGGAGGGGGGAGGGCTACGACTGCTTCCTTAGCTTAGGAGGAATTAGGTTGGTTGGTTGATTGGTGTTGAAGGAATTTTCTTGGTTGTGAGGTGAAGAACATGGAACGGCTGAGAGGGGTTTAGGTCTCTTAGGGTCTTAAGGTTGAAGATGAAGAAGGTTTTTTTTAGGTTTATAAAATCTGATGGGTTAAGGTATTGGGCTTTAAAATTGGGCCATCTCTTTGGACCTTTTGAATAAAGACCAAACAAAACTAGCCTCAAATTTCATACTCTTTTTTCTAAAAATGATATAAAATTTATAATATTAAATAGAAAACTAATTCTAATTAATTAAAATAAATAATATTATATTGTAAACTATTTTGGTATTTTTCAAGATTTTATAAAAATAAATCCTATTAAAATAGAATGACTATAAAACATTAATGAAACTATTTTTGTAATTTTTATTTTTGTGATAAAATACAGTAAAAGAGTCAAAACTAGTTAAAATAGCGATATTAGACCTAGACTAAATATATAATCACTAAATGGTGTAAAATCTCGGGTAGGGTTACATGTCTACAGCTGCCCTTCTTTGATTGGAAATACGAAGAGTTTCCAGACAAAGAACGACGAGACAGGTTTTTTGACCTGACCCTTATTTAGAGAGACCAAAAACTAAAAGAAAGGAGAATGTGACCGAGCCCTGGTATCTGAGTTGCCTACATATCCTTGGCTATAAAGGAATCTGGCCACGTGTAGTTCAGAAGTAAGAAAAGCAATGAAGTACCGAGGTGGAGAGCCGATTCAGGTGCCGTCGAGGTTCCGGTCTGCGATTCCTGCCACTACATCAAAATTAAGAGGAAAAATTACAACAAAAATAAAAGAAAAACACAAGATTCTATCTACTTCTTGTCTTGAATCTTCTTTGAGTCTCCACTTGCTCCTTCAACATGAAACTAAAAATTTNTGGGCTCGTGCTACTTCTGATTTGAACTAAAAATTGCCCCTATTCTCCAGGCGGGATCCGCTGTCTTTGACTTGAATCTTGAAAACTGAAAGTTGACCCTATTCTTCAGGCAGGATCCTGATACTTCTCTTAATTGAACTTGAAAACTAAATGTTGACCCTGTTTTTAAGGCAGCCTCCTGTTGTCTTTGACTTGAAATTTGAAAATTGAAAGTTGACCCTGTTCTTCAGGCGGGATCCTCCTGTTTGATTTTGACTTGAATCTTGAAAACTGAAAGTTGACCCTGTTCTTCAGGCGGGCTCCTGATGCCTCTCTGACTTGAACTTAAAAACTGAACGTTGACCATGTTCTTCAGGCAGTCTCCTGATACTTCTTGAACTTGAAAATTCAAAGTTGACCCTGTTCTTCGGGCGGGCTCCCGATGCTTCTCTAACTTGAATCTTGGAAATTAAATGTTGAACCTGTTCTTCAGGCGGGCTCCTGATACCTCTTGAATTTGAGAATTGAAAGTAACTCTAAAATGAAGTCCCTTGTTCTCCAGGTGGGCGCATGCGGCCAACTTAAAACTTGAAATGAAATTTCCTTGTTCTCTAGGTGGGCGCCTGCCAATAACTTAAAACTTGAAATGAATTCCCTCATTCTCCAGGTAGGCGGCTACGACCGACTTGAAACTTAAAATGGATTCCCTCGTTCTATAGGTGGGCGCCTGCCACTGACTTAAACTAAAATGAATTCCCTCATTCACTAAGTGGGCGCCAGCCAATGACTTGAACTTGAAATGATTACCCGCATTCTTCAGGTGGGCGCCTGCAGCTTGCTTAAAACTTGAAATGAATTCCCTCATTCTCCAGGTGGGTGCCTGCAACTTGCTTAAAACTGAAATAATTCTGAAATGAATTTCCTCGTTCTCCAGGTGAGCGTCTGTCACTGACTTAAAACTTGAAACGAATTTCCTCGTTCTCCAGGTAGGCTCCTTCCAATAACATAAAACTTTGAAATGAATTCTCTCGTTCTCCAGGTGGGCGCCTGCCTCTGACTTAAACTTGAAATGAATTCCCTCGTTCTCCAGGTGGGCGACTGCCACTGACAAAAAACTTTGAAATGAATTCTCTCGTTCTCCAGGTGGGTGCCTACCTCTAAGTTAAACTTGAAATGAATTCCCTCATTCTCCAGGTGGGAACCTGCCACTAACATAAAACTTTGAAATGAATTCCCCTGTTCTCCAGGTGAGCACCTGCCACTGACTTAAGACTTGAAACTTGAAATAAATTCCCTTGTTCTCCAGGTGGGCGCCTGCCACTGACTTGAAACTTGAAATAAATTCCCTCATTTTCTGGGTGGGCGCCTGCCACTGCCTTGAAACTTGAAATGAATTCTCTCGTTCTCCAGGTGGGCGCCTGCCACTGCCTTGAAACTTGAAATGAATTCTCTCGTTCTCCAGGTGGGCGCCTGCGACTTGCTTGAAACTTGAAATGACTTCCCCCGTTCTCCAGGGGGAACCTGCCACTGCCTTGAAACTTGAAATAAATTTTGAAATGAATTCGTCGTTCTCCAGGTGGGCGCCTGCAATTACAGCAAAACAGATAAAACAAGGAAAATCTTCTGCCCCAGTTTGTACCGGGAACATTTGTGAGTGTTAGTTAAATCCCATTTTTCAAGAGGGTCCTAAAAACTTAAAACTTAAATCCCATTATCCATGAGGGTCCTGAGAACTTGAAAACTAATCCCATTATCTAGGAGGGTCCTGAAAACTTGAAACTAAATCTCATTATCCAGGAGGGTCCAGAAAACTTGAAAACTAAATCCCATTATACAGGAGGGTCCTGAAAACATGAAAATTAAATTCCATTATCCAGGAGGGTCCTTGATAGGTTACAAGTACTTTGGGCATAAGTACTTTACTTTATGTTTTGATGATCTAGCAAACTTACCATCCAAAACCAGATAAGGAACCTGTTATACATTTACAAGACCTTAAGATCACAACGTTCCAGGTTGGGATCCAGCGTTAGATATAACTCAACTCTTCATAGTGGAAGGAACAACTGAGGGAACACCTTAAGATCACAAAGTTCCAGGTTGGGATTCAGCATTAGATATAACTCAACTCTTCAGAGTGGAAGGAACAACTAAGGGAACAAGTCCCTACCAGTTCCCGAGGAGACTGTATAAAGTCAACTCTCCAGCTGGAAAGTTGCTGCCTGCACACGCTACTGTACAGGAACAGTGCAGCAGTTAACTTTCTGTGGAAGGAGTTTTACCTACCTTGCTTACTTTATTGTAAGTGATGTCACACATGTATAAATACAATCAAGTAAGGTAAAACAACTTACTTCATGCGAGAACAAGATAAGGAATCTGATACAATTAAGTTCCTTACATTCAGAATAACTAATCAGATGTCTGGTTCAATTCTCAATGAAATCAGATAAGGAAAAAGCAGAGGGACCAGAAAGGGATCAGTTTCCCTCGTCATTGTACAGTCAACTCTACAGCTGTAAAAGTTGCTGCACTGTACTGTCTGGCAGACTGCTGCACTGTACCGTCTGGCAGACTGTTGCACTGTACCGTCTGGCAGCAGTACAACAGCACAGCTG